GAGTTCAAATGAAATCATAAACACACACACACACACAGACACACACACAGCTGCGTAAATGTGATTATTCATAGCACCAATTTTTGATATTTTTTAAGAAAATGGCCAATGGCCATAATTCTAGTCCATTAACTGCTTTCCCAGGTTAGTCACTATTTCAAAGGGTCCCAAGTATTATAGGGACAGTCCAGTTTCAGCTGCATGGAAGGAAGATGTGCAATCTTTCTAATGAGTATCAAAGTAATACATGGCAAAAATAATAGGTGAAACATAGTAACTGTCTAAGCATTTAATATGAGTGCTATAGATTGGACATTGAATTGGCCCACAAAGTCTCATGTTTTGGAGGCTTGTTTCCCAGGAAGGGGCTTTCGGGGGGATGGTGGGACCTTTACAAGGTGAGACTTAGTGGGAGGTCACTGAAGGTATGCCCTTGAAGGTGTGTCCTTGAAAGGGATTGTGGGAACATGGTCCCTTTCTCTTTCCCTTTGATTCCTAGCCATAAGGTGAGAAGTTTGCTCTGTCATGCACTCCCTGCCACCATTTGGTACTCCCAGCAGAGGGTTCACAAAATTCTGGAGTGGAACATCTACAACTGTGGACCAAAACAAAAATTTTCTCCTTGTAAGTTATCTCAGGCATTTTGTTATAGTGACAGAAAGTTGGCTAAAACAATGTCTGAATTCATTCAATCCTCAAATACATCAGATATATCACCTATGTGGAAACTGAAACAGACACAGAGGACTTATACATCTTGTGGGGAGAAAAAAGCTCTGCAGCTAGAAATCCCTCTCCAGAATCCATGGCATTACCCATTTCTTATTGAGATAGTCATATATAAATAAAGAAGATTAAATACAGACCTATTCCTTTCCATTCTGAGTTTAAAATTTTAGTTCACTGAAGAGGAATTTGCTAACTAGTTTGTTAGTATCTTGAAAGACTTAATGATATACCTAAAGTGGAAATCCCCTGGAAGGAAGTAATTCACACTCTGTGGAAATGTAGCCCAATWTGTTAACATGGAGAGCAAATGAGTTCTATCTACAGTGGTGTCAAGGTTGACATGTTACTCAGTATCTTCTCTGCACCCTGAAGATAGTAGCATCTGAATAATACAGTCAAAATAAATAAGGCTTTGAGTACATGGGAAAGATAATCACATATCAATTTGTACATAAACCCCAAATTGTCTACTATATATGATTGTTGCAGTTCAAGTTCTCAAGGAAGACAAGTCATTTCCAATGAGCATTTCCAATGAGTCATTTCCAATGTAGCCTCTAGCTACATTCTTTCAAATACTTGCTTCCCTCTCTGATGTCAGAAATACCACCAGAGCTGAAAGGATCCCCTTCAGAAGAGAATCCATTGTTTAATGGACAGATGGTCAAGTGCTCAAAAAATTTTGTGGGTCAAGAGGAAGGTCCAATGTGTGCGCAAGTATGATAACACAGTTTCCAATCTCTTTACAGATGACCACTCTGAAATGCAACATTTATTAGCATCTTGGTCTAAAGTCTGCCTGCTGTTAATGCAAACAGATACAGAAACTTGGGGATGTCTATCAGGAACCTTCCACTCCTGAGCATTAGTAATCAGAAAATGATTCCAAATGGAGCAACTGCTCAAGGCCACATGACCTGCAGCTGTATGAAAACAAACTTCTCAATAAAATGGGGAACCTGTTCAATATAGTCTCTCTGTGAAGAAGTACTTGGCAGTCACTAAATATTAGGCTTAAAAGTCAAAACAGCCAGGTGTGGTGGAACATGCCTTAATCCCAGGGGCTTAGGAAGCTGAGGCAGGAGGATTGCAAGTTCGAGACAAGTCTCAGCAATTTGATGAGGCCCTAAGCAACTTAGTGATACCCTGTCTCAAAATTTAAAATAAATAAATAAATAAAAGGGCTGGGGATATGGTTCAGTGATTAAGCACCACTGGGATCAATCCTTGGTACCAAAATAAATAAATAAATAAATAAAAGTCAAAAGGGTAGAATACAAAATTACAAATACTATAGTCCACTATTTTTCTAATTTTTTGTAGCTTAAATTCTCATTCTCTCTCCTTTCTTTCCTCTTACACGTTCTCCCTTTTCTTTCCCATTTATTCAAACAACAGAAACAAGTTTTGGAGGAAGTTTGGTAGGAAATGTACCACAATGGTGAGAGTGGTTTTGAGTTAGCTAACCAGCCCTTATCACTTCACTCTAAAAATGTGAAAAGTGTGTCAAAAGCATCCAGCTGCTTTACCCATGGGCAACAGAGCTGTCAAGCCTGGGTGGCAGGATACTGTGCAGCTTCCTACCTACCCACTGATTTTATTCCTCCACCACCTCCTCTATGAAAAGAGGATATATTTCATTCTCTTCAAGTATGACTGCAAATGGGACGAGCCTGATAATTACTTCATTAGATTCATGTTTTCACCATAAATATTGTTTGCCAAACAAGTTAATATAGAAAGGTAAATTTTCAGAAATGTCAATAGAATTATCTGGTCTTGAATGTGTTTGCATATGAAAACAAGTTTGAGTTAAAATGAATTCTTTTAAATTAATGAACAGRCTGAAAAATAATTCCTTTGTTCATTCATTCACTCCCTTGCCATATATTTACTGAGCATCCTAGTGGAGAGAATTGACATGATGATCAGTTAAATGCTTATATTCCTCTCCACCTGGTAGTTTGGAGCTCTTTAATGGTTATGTAAGTGAGGTCATTTAGTAGGACAAGTCATGATGCACCACACCAGAGCAAGAGATGCAGAGGCCCTGAATGAGAGCACTGGTAGCAGGAATGTAGCAGAAAGGACAAATCTAAAAAGTAACTAGCTCGATTCACATGATAAAAGATATGAACCTGCACACTCTATATAAGCACAAGTTTTGCATGCCATGTCAAGTAGCTCAACCATTTCAAAGTTCACTCTAAGAATCTATTAATTCTCAATGAAGGACACTTTGTCTACAACAAGTAAAACTGAGGAACACCCATGGAAATTAGGTAGAATTAATTTATCCTTGAAAGGATTAAATGAATACTGCCCCTACACCCTTAATAATAAAGAGGGATGAATAGGATCAAGGCACGCTATATGGAACAATCACAGTGCATCTCATAAATATGTACACTTAATGTGTTAATAAAATAGATTTCATATAACAACAGCAATAATAAGAGATGACCTATCCCTCAACCTGACTCAGTGAAATTTTATCTTAGATATGATTTCCTAGGAAATCAAAGTATTCTGCTTTCCCTGTAACAAGAAAAAAAATGATAGCTTTCATTATTTCACCCTCACAAGGTTTGTGATAGCCTACTTTTCCTAAATTACAAAATGAAACACAAAACTGACATTTATTTATGTATGCTTATATATATATATATAAAAGCTGGGCTCTCTCTTCAGGGACATATTTATAACAATTTGTTAAGTGAGGATTCACTGAGCCCCAAAGTACAACTGTAGAGCATTATGCATTTGTTATTGCAGACATTTAAAACTAAATCCTGATGTTAACTAGGAACACACATGTTTATAAATTTGACTGTGTTGAATATGAATAATATCTTTAAAGTCATATTGACCAAGTCTTAGATTGTTAAATAGCAAAAACCATACAGTTCAGGGGAAAAAGTGTGTGTGTGTGTGTGTGTATGTGTGTGTGTACACACACATACACATATACTATCACATAGTAGATCAGTGGTTCAAATTTTAAACATATTGGATACCAGTAAAATCTGACAGATAAAGCATCAAATAGCAGTACATGATCACTTCTGTTTTTGATTATTTGGCCCTTGACTATTTCCCCTTGAGTCTGTCACATCTCCAAAGTAGGCTGGTATAAGAGAATTACTGTAAGTAATGAAAGAGGCCAAARCTGTGAGCATCATGACAGAGGAAAYTAAGAAAGAAAATGGAAATTGATAATTTATAAATTAGTTGTGCATTGCCTTAATAAGCCAAAATTTACTGACACTTTAAACGTTACCACATAAAATATAAGAAAAATTTACTTTTTCAAAAAATATTATTAGTAAGTATAATTATACTAAAAGTTGTTCTGTTATTTGCTAATTTTAAATATTTTATTTATATATGACAGCAGAATGCATTACAATTCTTATTACATATATAGAGCACAATTTTTCATATCTCTGGTTGTATACACAGTATATTCATACAGATTYGTGTCTTCATACCTGTACTCTGGACAATAATGATCATCACATTCCACCATCATTAATTACCACATGCCCCCTCCCTTTACCTCCAACCMCTCTGCCCTATCTAGAGTTTGTCTATTCCTCCCATGCTCCTTCTCCCTATCCACTATGAATCAGCCTCTTAATATCAAAGAAAACATTTGGCGAGAGTTTTGTGATTGTGCTCAAATTGACATGATTTGTTGAGTTATGTGTACTCATCAGTATTGATGTTAACATCACGAAAGCATTTCAAATCTAAACAATGAGAAGCAAACAGGGTTGTAACCACTTTGCCTGGTTGTGGATCCCATTTGAGAAAGAGAACCATGGAAGAATTTATTATTGGGAAGATAAGAAATTCAGTGCAAATATTTATTCCTTGAAGTGCAATTATAAAGAGCCATTGTCTGAGTGCATATATGGCAAATGACAGCTATTCAGAGAACTTAATGGATGTGAAAAGTCGGCACTTTCCAACTGAAATCTCTGTGACACTAGAAATTTCCAGGAACTGTACTATTCAACACAGTAGCCATCAGCTACATGTGGCTAGTAAGCATTTGAAATATGGCCAGTATGATGAAGAAACTGTATTTCCAACTTAATCTAACTGAAAATTCATTTAAATTTAAGTAGTCATAGGTGGCTTGGGGCGACTAAAGTCTATAGTACATTTAGACTAAGCACACTGAAACCAGACATTGAGCTTTTTCAAGTAAATAAAACTACCTACTGGGAAAAAATAAGTTACAATTCTCCTCTTTGGTCTCCAAGGTCCCTTGCATGTGGTGCCCTGTTACTGCTGATAAGACTTGCACTGCTGACCATTTACCCCCTAAGAGAAGAAAACTGACATTGCTTATAAGTTCAAAATGACACTGCCAGTGAACTTTACTTTCAAATGGAACAATTACCTCTTACTTAAAGGGGCTTCTCAAGACGTGTAAAGATTTGCTGTCATGAAAATGCATATTTTGCTAACATCTCCTTCTTTTCTTTTTCTTTATTTCTGCCATGACTGGCTGTGAGAAATAGAAAGTTATCTTTCTTTGAAAACAAAATGGGGTGGTAATCACAGGGATCCCCCTTCACACCTATATGAAGCTAGAGATTTGCATGCAAAGAGACAATTTTCTAATCAGGTATGATGTCTTACTCTAGAATGGACCATTTATTTCTGTTTCTCCTGGRACTTTACATGAGCTGCATCTTTTGTACTTCTAATCCAGAAAATTCTAAGAAATCCTCCAGCATGCAGAGAAGAAGTCTCCTAAATATCTTCTATAACATGCGCTATTTGATTTTGTCTGCTGCCATAACCTACTACATGTTACACAGTAGTATGTGTTTGCTATGATAGTATATTATCAAGCCTATTTCATTTTCTGTCTTTCCCGCAAAACTGTAAACAACTGAGGGCAGGGGTTTTATTTTATTTCCTGTAAACATGGTTTATTAATATCTGTTGGTTCAAACAAATGAAGTAAATCACAAAGTTATCAAATATAGAAAAGTGAAAAATAAAGGGCAGATATTACTCTTATTAAAAGTTCATTTGATTCTATCCATACATAAGCAACATATTCCAATATAGAGCCCACAGCACATGCCATTTTAAAGAACCCTTAATTTGTACTGTATAAGAATGTGATTATGTTCAGGAACTCAAAACAGGAAGCTGGGAAACCAGATCACAAATTCAAGGAGGATCACAAATTCAAGGCCAACTTCAGCAACTTGGAGAGACCCCATCTCTAAGTAAAAGATTAAAAAAAAAGCCTGGGGGATGTTGCTCAGTGGCTAAACACCCCTGGGTTCAATCTTCAGTATAAAAATAAATAAATATAAACATTATGTATAAAGAGGGAGAAAAATAAATATATAATAAATAAATATATAATATTATATATAAAGAGGGAGAGAAAAATTTTTCTTAAACAGGCAGAGTATAGATTTTAGAGTTTGGAGAGCCATTTGGTTTCCATCAGTCTTTTTTTTAAGCCCTATAAAAATGTAAAACCATTTGAAACAGGTTTTAGAAAAAACAGGCTGTGACCCTGATTTGGCTCATAGATCACCATTTCTCTACCCCTTATGTAAAGGACTAATATTAATGTTGTAGCTTCATATTTTAGTCAGTTTTTTCATAGCTGTGACCAAGACACCTGACAAGAACAAGTTAAAGAGGAGGAAAAGTTTGTCTCATGGTTTAGAGGTTAATTCCATTATCAGCTGACTCTATAGCTATGGGCCTGAGGTGAGGCAGAACATCATGGCACAAGGGCCCAGTTGAGGAAGCAGCTCAGAACATAGCAACCAAGAAGCGAAGAGCTTCACTTGCCAGGAACAAAATACAAATCCCAAAGGCACACCCCCAGTGACCTACTTCCTCCAGTCATAACCCAATGGCCTACAGTTATCACTCATTTAATTCATTGGATTAATACATTAATTAGGTTACAACTCTCATAATCAAATCCTTTCACTTCTGGAAATTCTTGCACTGTCTCACACATGAGCCTTGGGGGACACCAATTATTCCAAGTACAACATATGTTTTTAAATTTTTGTTACCAAGGACTGAACTCAGGGCGCTTAACCACTAATCTACATCCCCAGACCTTTTTAAATTTTATTTAGAGATAGGATCTCACTAAATGGCTTAGGACCTTGCTAAATTGCTGAAGCCAGTTTTGAACTTGTGATCTTCCTGCCTTAGCCTCCTGAGTCTCTGGGATTACAGACATGTGTAATGGCACCTGGTTTAAATATAATGTTTAAACTATCTGTTTTTCTTTGCTTCAAAGAAGAAAATGGGCACATTTCTCATGTGGTTAATGTAGTTTGCATTCTTTTCTTTTCTTTGTGTTTTTTAGACAGTTTTGGGAAGAAAAATTCCATTTCAAGTCAATTTGGAAATGTGTTTTGGATAATGGTAATCTAGAATTCAAACACTCCCACAAAAGTGACTCTTCTAGATTTCATGTTTAAGAGAAAGGAAGAGGAAGGGAAAGAAAGAAAAGAAAATAGTCAAGAATATGTAACCAGAACAATATTGACCCAGTTATAGATGTATCTGCAGATGTCATGGGCARTCTGTAAAATATGTTCTCATTAATAAGGCTTGATATCTGATAACTACAGAAACCCACATTCCACAGAATCTTGGAAATGTCTAAAAGTATAAATTGTTTGCAGAAAATGCTATCTTCTTCTAGGTCCAAGAAGACCTGAAATGAAAGGATCCTTCTTGGGAAAGTTTCATCACTATTGCTGGCTATGAAAGATACTTTTCTCCTTGTCTAAATTTCAGTTGTTTTATTTATTTTCCACATCAGAGAAGTGAATACTTTAAAAGATGTCTGTCCTTGGTTCCAGCTATAGAATCAGTAYATTTTTTCCTCAAATAATTTAAAATTGTCTTAAAAAAAATGTTAATATGATGTCATACATCCATGCCTCCACTCCCCCCCCCCCATAAAAAGGTACTCTTTCTAGTTAATTCTCCATTTGCACTTTTTTTTAAAAAAAATACCAGGGATTGAACACAGGGGCATTTAACCACTGAGCCACTGAGCCACATCCCCAAGCCTTTATTTTTTATTTCATATTGCTGACAGAGTCTGGGCCTCGCTAAGTTGCTGAGATTGGCTTTGAACTTGCAAGTCTCCTGAGTTGCCAAGCGGTAGCGCGCTCGCCTGGCTTGCATGTGGCCCGGGTTTGATCCTCAGCACCACATACAAAAAAAGATGTTGTGTCCGCCGAAAACTAAAAAATAAATATTAAAAAATTCTCTCTCTCTCTCTCTCAAAAAAAAATACCAACACATTAGAGGGCTGGGGATGTGGCTCAAATGGTAACGTGCTCGCTCGGCATGTGCAGGGCACTGGGTTCAATCTTCAGCACCACATAAAAATAAAATAAAGATGTTATGTCTGCCGAAAACTGAAAAATAAATATTAAAAAAATTCTCTCTCTCTTAAAAAAAAAGAATACCAACATATTAAAAATTACGTAAATATGCCTGAATGGTAGCCCACACCTATAATTCAAGCTGCTCTGGAGGCTGAGGCAGGTGGATCACGAGTTCAAATCCAGTCTCAGTAATTTAGCAAGACCCTTTCTCTAAATAAAATATATAAAAAGGGCTAGGGATGTGGCTCAGTGGATAAGCACCCCTGGGTTCAATCACTGGTATAAATAAATAAATGGTACTTAAATAGAATGTACCTATTCTCTTAACAYCTTCACATATAGCTAGCACTTGCTTAGTTTCCTAAAGAATGCTAGTTTTTCCAGAAACTGTGAATGGTTTTAAAATAACCCTTTAATTTTTGAGACAGAGAAATGTCTAGGGAGGGAAAAAAAGAAGTGCTATCCACTGAATAAAAAAATAAAGTGGCTAAACAAAAATCAATCTCTTTTTTTTTCTTTTAGATAGCTAAAATTGCTAAAGTGGTTAAGGTAGCATATAATTTTTCTTGTTGAAGAATTTCATCCAGTTTGACAAGTAAATAAATGTTTAACTCTGTCCCTCCTTTTATTGCTGCAGAAACCAGAAGAAATGGAAAATAACTGCAGCATGTTTACGACATATTAGCTCCTTTCTCTACATGAAACACACAATGAGAACACTTTATAGATGAATTGTGCCTTTGACTGAATGGAGAATGGTGGACGAGTTCTGGTTTTGTGGAATTGGAAAATTTGTCACAGTTTCTACCTCTGAAAAATGAAAACCCAAAGGAAAACTAGTAGAAAGACTTATTTTTTAAAAAGTGATAAAAATATAAAATGATATTTTTGGTGCACCTAAGTATTTTAAAATACATAATTTACAAAGAAAACCACTAAGTTTAAGGATGGCTCTTACTAATAAACAATCATGGTTGTAGGTTTCAACACAAGCTATTCATCATACTTTAAGTGACATTACTTACTAGAAAATTTTTGAGATTGTTCTGTGATTATCATACTCTTGTCTGATTGCCTACTTTTTATTATCATTATTAAATATATATATAAATGGGATATTGATATAATTGTGCCTTATATGTGTCATACATATGTATAATTTTAGTTTATTTGTTCTCATACTCTACATCCTCTAATATGCCAATACAGCTAAAAAGAAGTATCTAAATATTAATTACTCCTCCCACAGTAGTTGAATATAAAAGAGACAATTTTTCCAAAATGGCTGACCTCTTCATCACAAAATATAGATTAATAAATGAAAAGCCCACCACATTGATTTTTAAAAGTTTGATGTGACACAGGAAACTTAACAAATGAAAAAATCGAAAATCAGGAAGAAAGGATGAAAGAAATGGATGGTTAGAAAGAAACGTGAYTAGATGGAAAGCCTATGAGCTAACGGGAACACACTGGGGGAGACCCAGCAGGACCTGTTTAGTTAGGTTCTTCTTGGCCTCTCTATATAACTTGCCTATCTCTGGGACACTGTTGCAAAGGGTCTTATTTTCAGGGGAGATAGATCAGAAAAAAGCCTTTCCAGGCTTCACAGGGTTCCTGGTTTCTTTGGTCCACCTTGGGGAAAAAGAAAGCAGAGCAGAGAAAAATGAGGACAGGAGAAAGTCAGAGACACCTTGCTTCTGAGACCTCCTGATCTCCTACATTTCAAAGTAGTCAGCATACCATATTGCTATATTTTGGGCATTATGTTCTCAGTCCTTTCAGTTAAACATGTAATATTTTTCAAAAATAGAAAAAAAAGATTTGTTTCAGAATGCTGCAAACCAGTTTTCTCCAATTAAATTTGAAAATGTTGCCAAAATCACATTATTTTTCTTCTTCATATAACTGTGAAGTTTTACTATGATACTTTAAGATTAAAAAAGAAAAATACACCTAAATAGTTCAGTTGGAGAAGAGATTCAGAGGAATATTGGTTCAAGAGTATTTCTACTCCACCATCCTCCTAAAATTAGTAATATATTAAGTTAAAAAATTGAAACAGTCTGGTTGGATAAACACAAGTCTCCAGACTTGTTAAGCTACCAGGGAAAAGATATGTGCCTATAACACAATGGCATATTCCAAGGTCTCCTAGACCATTTGGTTGCCATATGGGAAATGAACAGGAACACAGCTTCCCTTAATATGGTTGAAATTTAAAGATGATGTACATATAGTTTTATAACTATTCTTTGAAGGTTTTGGTCTCTGTTCCACATGCTAATTCAAACTGATTAGGCATTTACCAATATTGAAAGAAAAACTGAAATTCAATGATATCTCAATGCTCTTTGGGTACAATGTTTTTGTCACATATTCCCATCACTGAAATTAACCCTGGATGATTTTATTGCTCTGAAGATTAAAATTACTTTCGGATATACTCATTAAGTATTTTCTATATTTAGGATGCATAGTCAAAATCCCTTTTTATGTTTACAAACCATCTTTAAATATATTTTGGTTATAAATACCAAACTAACCACTTATGCCCTAAATAACACCAATGGAAAAGAATTACTTTAAAAACAAGTGACAATTTAAGATGAATAGTAATAGGAATTGGACAAGCTGGGTCAGCCTTCTGTCCCAAAAGGTAGAAAATACAGGAAACATCTAGTATCATAGACCAGACCTTAATTATATCCACAAAAGCAACAAGAGGTTTATTTTTAAGGAACTTTGTGAGAGTTACCCTCTACATAATCCATTCCAAATTTTAAACTATATCAGCTACTTTTCTTCCAAGCTGGCAATAGACTCCTACACTTCTGGGGTGAAAAGCAGACACCTCCCTTCTCTCTTCTTTACCCCACAGTGACTTCCCTGGAAGTGAAAAAAATCCCATTCCTTTCTTTCCCTAGACCCTTCAAATATATTTATTGTTATTTATTGCATTATTTTAGTCAACTTACATCACCCCTATTTGTGGGACAGGTTTAAAACATGTAGTAGAAATTACTGAAAAAAAATCCTAAACTAGACATCATCTAGTTCAGTCTTCAATCATGAGAAATTTTCGGTTAAATACTCATGACAGAGTCAAGGTTCTGTGGACACACCCATGTAATGATTTAATTCTGTTTTCTTATGAGAAACCTATTGGACTGACCAAATATGATTAGTTTTCCCTTAAGGAAAAAGTAGATGATTTTATCTGGGTGCACTTAACGAAAGATWGAGTCTATATACAGACACAAAGCAAAAGAATATATAATTTCAGCAGAAGTCCCCTGAAAACCCATTCTTTGATTAGAAATGATGCTTGCTTTATTTTGAAATATTTGTTGTACAAAATAAAGAGAAATACCAAATATGGTAAGAAGGTTGTGATTCTTCATCACTTCAGTCTGAAAAACATTAGGTGTGGGGTCTGCTATGGTTTGGAAGTGTCCCTCCAATGATTCATGTGTTAAAGGCATGGTTGCCAAACTGTGGCACTATTGGGAAGTAGTGGATCCTATATGAGGTGAGGCCTAGAGGCTGGAAGTTAGGTCATGGGGGGTCATGCCCTTGAAGGGTAGTCTATGATCCTGGTCCCTTCATTTCTCTCTCCTCTTGCTTCTTAGCAACATGAGGTGAGCAGCTTACTCTATCACACACTTCCATTATCTATACTGTCTCACCACAGACCCCAAAGCAATGAGCCAACCAACTATGCTGAAGCTTCCAAGACTATGAGCCAAAGCCAAAATAAGCCTTTCCTCTTAAATTGAATTCTTTCAGTTATTTTGTTTCCGTGATGGAAAGGATCCAATCACTTCCCTTTAGACCTTAGAATTATGCCCTATAAGACGTATAAAAGATTCCCCTGTAAGTCTACTCGTGTCCAACCACAATCATCAAAACAATATGTTTTAGATTTAAAATTAGTAATTCTGGTTGTAGTTCAGTGGTGGAATGCTTGCCTTGTATGTATGAAGCACTGGGTTTGATTCTCAGCACCACATAAAAATAAACAAATTAAATAAAGGTATTGTGTCCATATACAACTAAAAAAGTTTAAAGAAATAAAAATAAAATGTGTAATACTTGTAGGGATCCTTCCTTCAATCAAAGAACTTATCGAAGTAAGAAAATTACCACTACTGCTTTATTTGAAAGGAATATAAAGTCAAATTTTAACATAAAAATGGTAGACAGCCTTAAGTTTCCAGAGGAAATACAAACTAGTTTTTGTCTATAACCGTCAATGACCAATGCAGTATTTTGATTTTAAGTTGGCCTAAGTATACCCAAAATGACAACCCTTCCTGGAAAAAGTAGGTTTAATTAATATTTTTTTAAAAAAGAATTTATTATCTGATAAATTCTGGGTAACATTTGAGATTATGTCATCATGATGTTTAAAATAGGCCAGACTTGATGTAAGATTGGAATAGGTATTTAAAAAGTTAGAATATTTTAAACTTTATAGATTGATTGTTCTTATTTAACAACATTCATGATTGAAGATATCCTATGTTAAAAACTTACACAACTAAAKGGTGCCCTATGATCCACTAGTGCTACCCAAGTAGGAAACATGTTTTCCAGGATACTGGTCTGGAAATGACATTAGATTGTTATGTTTTTTGAATTATAAATCATCATTTTCTAAATATTTAAACTAAACTTGCCAAAGATGTGATGTTTACATTTTCCTTGTCAGTGAAGCCTAATTTTTTTCTTCTTTCTTGACAAGATAAAAATAAATAAATAAACCTCTCCAATTTGAGTCAGAAACTCAACATTTTTAAGATAGTTATAAAATAGAGCTTCAAGTAGGTTTTCTCTTAAAAATAATGAGTTACCATCACTCAAAACCTTAGTTACTAAAGTGCTCACTTCTGAGAACAGAGACAACATGTGAATTTGCTTGAAAACAATCATAGGTAACGTTCATTATTGACAAATTGATACTGTTGTGTGCAGATGTCTGAAATTTTCATAAAAGGCATGTGGAAATTCAAAGATTGATGATTAAAACAGCTAAAAAAATCTCCCCTCCTCCTGGAAGACATAATGTTCTTTGTACTGAGGTATAACCTGAGTCATTTGATTTATGTATTAGTAATTATGTTAGAAAAATTGACTCCAGAGGTTTCACGTGAAACACCTTAATTTAGGGAAGCTTCCATTATGTGAAATCTATTTGTCAAAGTTACCTTATAAACACAGATAGATAATGCATATATATTTTGCACACATATAAATACAAGATTTAGAAGGTACAAACTGAAAATAATTCATTGGTCAACATCTTGGAATTTCCTTTGACTATGGGAGTGAAGTTTTAGGATCTACCAGTGAGATGTGGGTTAAGAGCTAATTCTCATGTAAAGACAAAATTATGAATTTTATACAGATATGAAAGTAACCATATGCTAAGATTTTATTTTATTCCTATGATGTGAGGGAAGTAGAGAAATGTTTTAACAGATTCAAAGGAAAAGTTAGAAGGGCAGATATTCACATGGAGTAAAGGCATATTGAGATGAACTGCAAATGGCAAGAAAGTCCTTTTTTTCCAGAGGAGGGAGAAAACCAAATAAAATCACTAGTAGACGGGAAATAATTTATATATCAATCAATTATCTACTGGTAATAAATACAGATAGAATCTAACTACCAGGAGGAATCACCTACAGAAGATGTGTAATTTTATATTTGAATACATTTTTTTTTCCTACATATGGCAGTTAAATGAATGACTRCAACCTGAAATTGATCTTATAGAAATAAGTGCTCAACTTCAAGAGAAACTGTAGTCACTCCGCACTATATGCAAGTAAGAATCACCTCTAAG